GTCTTCCCATCTACTGTAGCTGGTAAGAGTAGTATTCACGAATGGTGACATTCTCTCTCTTTATCTTATCTCCAGGGAGTTTCCTGTTCAAGTGGAAACCGTAAGGGAAAAGTAATGGGTATTAATGGAGGGCCATGTAATACTGGTGAGTCGGAGTAATCCGAACTGAGTTCATTTGTTTTGTACCTGACGATCACATCCCTTTCCCCATGACTTGATTCATTATTTCCTCTCCAGTTGGCAAGTCGCTTCTCCGGATTGTGAATTCTTCCATTTCCCCCGACTCGTATATGTCCATGGCTTTCCTGAACTCTTTCCATAATGCGGACAAGAGTTTTAACGACCGTTTCATCTATCTGTTCCTCGACAGTATGTTGATCCGGTTCTGAATCTCATTAGCGGTGTCGTAAATAAATAGTTGGGAGAAGTGATCCCATCATGTGGTGATGTTGGCCTGAGATTCTGTAAGTGTATGGTCCATGACGCTACAATCAACCTTAGCTCCTACCGAGGTCGTTGCCATGAGTGCGTTCATGACTTTTATATTCTTCTTGAATTTAGGTGTTGCTAATTGGTCTGCTAATTTATCTCATTAAAGGTAGCAACAGCCGCCCTTTCTGGCAGCAAATCGAGTACATCGGTTGCCTATTTGGGCCTCGTTCAGTGCTCTCTGCTTCCCACACACAACGCACTCTTCTAGTTTGTCGGTGGGACGATCTTTTGGCTTTCTTGGTCCTTGTGAAGGAAATATATTGGTATTAGCTAAGAGGATGGGTAAGCAATGTTAATATTCTGTTAATTAAAGTTACTTACTTCGCTGTATTTTTGTATTTGGTGTTGACGTTGATGTCCCAGTCACAGCGGCGATGTTATTAGCATTTTCTGTTGGGAGAGAGCTTACGTCTTAAAAAGCTTACGTCTTACTGAAGACTGGAATAATCAGTAAGAATATTTGCAATTTTTTTTTTGTAGATGTGAAGGAAAGACGCTTGTTTTACAATTGTCTATTCACCAAAACTCTATGATGAGAGTGTCGGTGGAACCCGTAGCGCAAATATAATGGATATTATATTATCATCATATATGCATATTTCATGTAAAGAATAATATATAACTTAATAAATCTCTAATCAAGAAAGTAATTAAGCTAAGCTCTCTCTCGGTGTTACATGAATCATGCTTGTTTAGGAAACACAAATTAACCAAAAAAATGTATAACTTTACTCAAATAAAAGCTGCTCTTAGTTTTACCCACCATTTTTAAATCGATTCATAGTTTACTTTTAGTTCATATTTAGAGTACATTTCTGACCACCCAAAAAAAATAAGTAAATTGCTAACAAGCAATTGTATGAATATCACGAACCTGGAACC